CCTGGGATCACTTCAATACAAACTCAGAGAGTAAAGCAATGTTCACAAATTCTCAGAAGAGACTCTTATTATTATCATTATTATAGTATAGTTCACCTGGAGTCACACACACAAAGATGGGTTTCCTTTTTTTCCTCCCTTTGCTGGCAGGCAAATTTTTTTCTAGCCTATCTTTGATTCAGCCTGTTGAGTCTGCAGGCTCTCTTTTTAAAGTGCTCTCTTTTATTGCCCAAAGCTTAGTCTCCCATTCTCCTACACAGTTATTAATCATCAGGACTCTAGGATAAGCCCCTAGGGCTTCCTGAACAATTTATTAGCTCCCTTTTTACCTTCTTTCTTTCTTCCTTTTTCTATTTTTTTTTTTTTTTTGAGACAGAGTCTCTCTTTTGCCCGGGCTAGAGTGCTGTGGCGTCAGCCTAGCTCACAGCAACCTCAAACTCCTGGGCTCAAGTGATCCTCCTGCCTCAGCCTCCCGAGTTAGCTGGGACTACAGGCATGCGCCACCATGCCCGGCTAATTTTTTCTATATATTTTTAGTTGTCCGATTAATTTCTTTCTATTTTTAGTAGAGACGGGGTCTCGCTCTTGCTCAGGCTGGTTTCGAACTCCTGAGCTCAAACAATCCGCCCGCCTCGGCCTCCCAGAGAGCTAGGATTACAGGCGTGAGCCACCACGCCCGGCCTCTATTTTTTTTTCAACACTGGGGAATTCCTCTTATTTTCTTGTCAGTTTAGTAATGCATTTAAATATATATTTGAGGTTCATCCAACATCCGTGTATTCTGCTACATAAGCCTTTTTAGAATATTAAATCATGCATACTATTAGAAATGGGAGTCCCATTCTGAATTCTAGACTCTCAAATTCTTCCTTTTGTTTTTTTTTTTTTTTTTAAGATGGAGTCTCTGTGCGTTGCCCAGGCCAGACTCAAATTCCTAGGCTTAAGCGAACCTTCTGCCTCAGCCTCCCGAGTAGCATTTCTTTTTCCTAATTAAGTTTTAGAATTTTTACTTTTTATCATAAGGTATACAAATATTAGAGTGCAAGAGACATATGAACTGTTTAAAGTATAATTATCAAGTGAAGATTGCTGCAAACACCACCTAGGTCAAGAGTAGAACACTGCCAATACGCACAAGCCCACCATGTGCCTTGATCATATCAGCTCCCTCCTGAGCTAACCATTAGCTTGCCTGTTCCTTTTTTGTAACATGGCTCATAATACAGTAAAGCAACCACCCTGCTGAAAACAACAAAAAATGTTAGTAAAATACTGAAGAGCCAATAAGAAGATAAGGAATTATCAGACCAAAATCTAGGTGAAGGCAGGATCCAGAGAGTAAGAAGAATAATGATGTCACCTTAATCCTGAAGGTGTGTGCTTTACTTGGTACACTTTAGCTGGGTTTTTCTAGGCCTCCTGAGGCAAGTGGGACAGAAGACAAGGCCCAGGATCTGGTGGAAGTGGGAAGTCTAAATCTGGGAACTCAAAGGCTACAGTGTCAGTGACAGTGAATGAAAAATACACACAACCCCACTCAACAGACTGGAAAGAAAATTATCTTGGAAGGGAGAGGTTGTGGAGCTGTGGGTGGGTGGCACTGGACCCATAAGCCAGCCAGCCCTCCTAGGGATATGTAGCCCAAATATACATCTCCTAGTGGTCAACAACAACAACAAGTGAATTCAGTTTCAAATGGTCTGTCTTTGCTGAAGCAAAAACAAATCCTCTCTGGAAAGAATGAACCTTTATTCTAGGCCTTAAACAATTCACACAAATAATTTTCCAAGGAAAATGCAGCTTATAGTAAAAAATAACCAAGCACACAAAGAGTGAGAATAAGTAAAAACAACTGACGAAAGGAACTGACTTGATAATTTCAATTATCCATTAAAGAAATGCAAGTAAACTAGTTTTATTATTATTATTGACATACTGTTACTGAACATTCAGCATCAGAAGAACAAGGACAAGTGGTATGAGGAAAAGGAAAGAGTTTATTAATTCGCTGGCAAATGAGGAGGCTGTCAGACTCCCATTTCAAAGAACTAGGTCGTGCTTCTGAGCAGAAGTACTGAGCTTTTAAAGGTTGTGATCAATTCCATCTTTGGCTAAGACAATCTCATGACCTCCGCCCAGATTAATCCCATCTTCAGATAACACAATCTTGTGATCTTTGCCCAGATTAATTCCATCTCCTGTGGCACAAAGAACAAAGGACACTCCCCTGCCCCTCCTGACCACTGGCCTGAGGCAGGGATGCAGGTCTTAGCTCCCCAAAAGCAGTGGGGGATGTTTTAGAGAGACAGAACATTTTTGCCATTCTTTCAAGCCATTTCTTCTGTTACATATTTCCACCTGTCAATATTACCCTTTAATATCTATGGGAGGAGGGGTGACAACTCTGTTACAATATTGCAATTACACAGTAAAAATTTCAAGAGTACAAATGTGTATAAATGAAAAGTCTCTTCTTTCTCACCTTAGTTATACTCATTTTCCACAGTTTTAGGGGTTCTTCCAGAGGTTACCATTATAACTTTCAAAAATTATACTTTAATATGTGCATCAATGTCTTCAAAAAGAATTTATTAAATATCGTTTTGTTTCCAGGACATATTAATATACTCATTTTATAAGTAGGGGTATGAAGCAAACTATTAAGGCAATAAGAAATTATATTGGTAATCCTGGGAACAAAACTTTCCAGGGAAATTTTAATGGCATGCTAGTCAGTTTCAAGAGCCTAGTTTAAGTTCTATATCTTAACTTGTTTCTACAATCCCTTCATTCCTCCCCAGGCCTCCATTTCCAAATAAACATTGAAGTTTTAAAGTGCTATAGATTGTTTTGTTCTTAATACCCTGGTCTGTGATCTGGCATAGGAAAAAAAATTCTCAGCCATGTTGTACAGTTAGTCCAACTGTTGGCTCTCTGCCCAGTATTGAAAACGTAATTTTCAGCATTAATTTTCAGATTAATGTATAATCCTCATACATTATTATGTAGATTTGGTTTTACTATTGGTCTAATTATGTCCCTTGAATCATAGAAGTATTGGACTTCAAGTCAGCACATAAGGTCTTGTCCCAGCTTTGTCAATAATTTCCTGTGCGACCTTGGCAAGTCACTTAACCTTAGTTTTCTCTCCTGGGTTAACAATTATCAAGATAGAATCATAGAACATTAGAATTGGCAGGGACCTCAGAAATTACACAGTAAAATTTCTTTACTTTATGGAGAAGTTGAGTAACTTACCCCAGTCACCTATATAGTACGCAGCTTTTCTAGAAGAAGCACTCAGTCTTCAGCATCACAGACCGGTACTCTTTTCATTAGGCTTTCTCATAGTGCTGTTTCAAGAAACAAACAAAAAGTGAAAGCACTAAACAAATACAAGGCCATTCCAAAAAAGCCAGAGAAACGTTAACCATTAGCTTATACTGGAAGCTTATCTGAAAATGTACCTCGTCTAACTTAAAGATAATTTAAAATTCATGCGTTCTGAAACTATATAAGGAAAGGTCAGAAAAATAATAGGTAGGAAAGAAAAGTAGTGGTTGGCTTGGAGAATACCCTTGATGTGTGTTAAATAAAAATTATAGGAGGTCACTGTTTTAGACTAGTCTCCTGCACGAGGCCCCAACAGACCAGAGTAAAAATTATAAAAAAATGGAGTCACCCATGCTGAAGTTCCATAGCACCAAACCCAAACTAAGTTATCCTACCTATTGAGAAACCAGGAGAGCAAAAGATAACAGCCAATTTCCCAAACCTGCCAGTTTTAATCTTGCATGATAATGATAAGGAAAACCCCCATCTATTACTTGGCACATCAGCCACCTGAGACCCCCACCCCTCACAGAAGACCCACATCAGCATAATACTAACCTATTACCTGGCACATCAGCATAACACTAAACCTATTACCTGGCGTGTCAACTACCCTATTACCTGGTGCATCAACATAATACTAACCTATTACCTGACACATCAACAAACCTATTACCTGGCAGGCATTAGCCACCTGATACCCCACCCCTCGGACCACCCCAACTTAATAAGAGTGGGAAAAATCGGGTAGACCGGGCTCAGAATTTGGTGGCGAGACCCCTCTGAGACCATAGGCGAATAAACTTTGACTCTCCAACTCTCTGTGTGCCACTAGGTTGACCACCCGCTGTAACACTCCCTGTAACAATAATGAGCCTCTCTCTTTAATCCTTAGACAAAAGAAGTAGCCAGAAGTAAACTGGTGTTAACCAATCAGTTATTTTTCTGTTCTTGAGTCTTCTTGTTCTGCCTTACAAGAAGAGCAGCTTTGAAATGACTCATACACTCTGTTCTTTGCTTTTGCTTTCCTCAAGCCTTCTCAGTCTATAAAGCCAACCTCTTTTGCCCAACTCATCCGAATACTTACTCCATTTTATAGAACGAAGTGTTGCCCTATTCTAGAATCGCAATAAAGTCAGTTGAGATCTTTAAACTAAATTTGTCGTAATTTTGCCCTTTGACAAGGAAAAACAAAACTCCCATCCCAAGAGAGTGCTTATATTCTTTTATCACTTCTTTCTGGTCTTTTCCTAGTTTTTGCCAGGTGAAATTGGGGAAATGGAGACTGCCTGTTTTTACACATTTCTGAAGCAATGGTGTGCAATAAGGGTTATTTGAATCCAAATTATTTGCCTCGCCATTTCCCACCATACTAAACATCATTACATCAGTTCCTTCCCCAGCCACTACCCCCAAAAAACGTGCTGAAACAGGCGGAAACCACACTCAATGCGAAAACTCCAAGTCCCGAAATGCTCCCCACCGCCCCTAGCCAGAGCAGCCACTCCCGTCCTGGGAGTTGTAGTCACTCGGAGTCATTCAGCGCCTTCCCTTGGGGGATGCGCCTCGGAGAACTACAACTCCCAGGAGGCCGCGCGCGCATTTCCCCGCCCCCTGGCGTCAGGCACCACCCCTCCCGCTCCTCCCTCCGCGGGCTGCACCGCTCACGCCTTCCTGTTAGTCCGAGCTGGGAGAAGTTCACTCCGATCAGCTGATCCTAACTGACAACAGGAGAGGAGGAAGCCCGGGAGGCAACGACGGAGGAGGGGGGCGGAGATGGAGAAGAGGATGGATCTGCAGGTGCCCTAAGGAACAACCCCCGCCCCCACCCGCGCCCTGCGGCCCCCCAACGCCGCCTCGCAGCGGCCGATCTGCTCCGTGGTGGGATCCCCGGGCCGCGGCGGGCAGGGCAGGGCGGGGAGGGCACGGCCCAGCGCTGGGCGAGCGACCGTCCTGGGGCTCTGGCTGCCCCCCGGAGGAAGGGGGGAGGGTGCGGCTGGAGTGGGGGTGGGGTGGTATAAACAATAGATTCGGCTCCGGGCTTTGCCGGCGTGGGGGGGATTTTGGGGGACCTTCTTTGTTCTTAGGCTCCGCTCCTACCTCTCGGGTTGTGGTGGTGTTGTCGGGGAGGAAGGCAGGGTGAGGAACCCCCGGCTGGAGAGAGGCGTCGAGGTGGGGGCCTGAGTGGGCAGATTGTTTGGTTGGCCTGGCCGGGGGTGAGATGTTCTTTTGAAGGATGATTTTGTATTTTTCTCAATTATGACAAGTTTTGTTTCCAGTTGGGAGCTGGCTGGGCACATCTGAGGTTAGGGTGTAAATAAGGTCTTCTACTCCCTTCGACTTCCTTGTTTATGTAAAAATAAGAGTGATAGATTGACTACTGTAGGGGAGGAGTGACTATCTGAAAGGAAGGCTTTACACTTTGTTGGGGCATTGGAATGGGGTTCACATCTAGGGGGAATTAGGAATATCATTAATATAATTGTAGAAGTGACAAAAGCCCCTTTCCTTCCCCAGTTATCATTTTTCCTTTTTTTTTTTAAGTTTATTTTAAGTTAGTTTTTGAGTGGCAAAGAGAAAATTTATTTGTTTTGACTCACTGCAGGCCTGGCTTTGCCGTGGGCCACAGTGGAGGAATTGTCTCCTGTTGCTCTCTTTTTTTGCAGTTAAAGAAGGGACAAAAGAAAGTACAATTGTTTTTTATTGTTTTCAAACATGAAATTGTGACTGTTGTTTCCAGGTTTAGATCTGTCCAGAGTTGAAACGATCCAGTTATAGATCTGCCCAGGTCTTTGATGGATCTAAAGTTTATTATTATTATATTTTTATTAGCTTTTTACGGACCTCTTTCTCCACCTCTCTCATTTGTGGATGCAGGTGGAGGTGCATAGGGTTGTCCTTCCAAGGACTGTTTGCTTAGTGATTTTAGTCATTTTGATTCTGAATTTAATAACTGAATGAATAGAGAATCCAGTTTGGGAAATAGAACAGCAAAGTCTCTTAAATGTCTTGGGTCTAGAAGTGGTGGTTGTTTTCATAAGGAGCCTTAGCCATGATTTTGAGAAGAAATGTCTAGTATCAGAACAAGCCAGTGTAAGTTTTACAAGAAATAATGAGATTTTTCTCTATAGTTTTGGCTTAGTATTTAATCACAATCTTTTTTTAAGGTGCACTTCTGGTTTTTAGATGAGTGAAAACCTTTTCCTTCTTCTATTCTAGGTGTCCTCTGGAATACTGACTTGAGCTTGAATTATACTGAAAAGCTCCTGACCACTTTCACTACCGAAACTTTGTGGCCGAGGGCCAACTGATGAGCCCACCTCTGGGATCCCAACAGACCTCTCTCTCAAATAGCCATAAATGACCCTTTCAAGTTAATTTGACCACATATTTGCTTGCACTTTACGGAGGATGAAACCATCAAACCAAATCAACGTTGCTGCTGATACAAGAGGCTTGGAGGCAGAAAATTAAAAATTGGAACATTTGTGAGTGTGTGAAGATTATAATAGGACACTGAAGGTTTTCTTTTTTAAGGTGTTGAGAACCCCGTGGAAGTTCTGTGCAGTCTTCAGACTCAAAGCCTTTGTCTTCATTCCTGGGGCAAGCTCAGTGACTGTTATATGGTGGGTGTGTTCCCTTACCAATCTGAGTATGAGTGCCCAGACTTCGCCAGCAGAAAAGGGCCTGAATCCGGGGCTGATGTGCCAGGAAAGTTACGCCTGCAGTGGGACTGACGAAGCTGTCTTTGAGTGTGATGAGTGCTGCAGTCTGCAGTGTCTCCGTTGTGAGGAGGAACTCCATCGGCAGGAACGCCTTCGAAACCATGAGCGGATAAGACTCAAACCCGGCCACGTCCCTTACTGTGACCTCTGCAAGGGTCCCAATGGGCATTTGCCAGGTGTTAGGCAGAGGGCAGTCGTGAGGTGCCAGACCTGCAAAATCAACTTGTGCCTGGAGTGCCAGAAGAGGACTCATTCTGGGGGTAACAAAAGGAGACATCCCGTTACTGTGTACCATGTCAGTAATGTCCAGGAGTCACTGGAAGCAGAAGAGATGGATGAAGAGACCAAGAGGAAGAAGATGACTGAGAAGGTTGTGAGTTTCCTCCTAGTAGATGAAAATGAAGAAATTCAGGTAAGCACTTGGGTATGGTGGGATTCATGCAGTGGAGATCCGTTGTTGAAGGTAGCTCTCAAAAAGAAAGTCCAAGAGGAGATCACATTTTAATCGTTAAAAGACAGGCCCCTGAAGGCTTGAGTTGCATGTAATCAGATTACGTTGCTTATCAGCTTTGTGACCTCAGGCTAAATTACTTTACCTCTCTGAGCCTTAGTTTTCTTATCTATAAAATGGGACAAGCCAGGCTTGGTAGGTTTGCCTGTAATTTTAGCTACTCAGGAAGCTCAGTGGGAGGATCACTTGAGCCCAGGAGTTCCGAGGCTGTAGTGAGCTATGATCCTGCCTGTGAGTAGCCACTGCATTCCAGCCTGGACAACATAGTGAGACCCCATCTCTAAAAAAAAAAAAAAAAAAAAGAAAATGGAGACAGTGCTTACTCTTTATTGGGTTGTTTTGATGATGAAATGAGACAATGATTGTAAAGCCAGTCGCATAATAAATGGTCAGTATGTGGTAGCTGTTGTATTATTGTTAGGAGGAAGTGCTTTAAAATAGATTTCTGAGTGAGAGCACTTGGGCAAGTTGTGAGTAAATGTCAGTGATGAGGGACTGTACTTATCCAGGGAAAGAAACACTAACTAACAGTGGGTCCCATGGGAGTGCTAGGGAATAAGGCATGAACCTGCTATCTCGATTTAGAGAGGTAGGTCTCTAAAAAGTGGCTTTTAATAAGGACAGTATTCTCCCTAGATGGTGTCTTCTCATTGTCACTTCCAGGCTTCTGATCAGTAAAAGCCAGTGAGGGCATCTGGGAGTGCAGAATGACTAGACATTTGGTTTGATTCCAAGTTGGGGCTGGGCAGTGTGTGATGGGGGCAAATTGGGAAGATGGTAGTGTGTGACAGCTAGTAGTGATTTGGGGAAGGGGTAGTATAATATTTCTGCTTTCCAGTGGGCTTTCAAGTGAAGGCTGCTTGAATTTATACCCTGACTGTATAACCACCGGCAAATTATTTAAGCTCTGTGCCTCAGTTTCACTTTGACTTCATAGGATTGTTGAAAGGATTCAGAGAGATTAGAAATGGAAAGGATTTACTGCAGAGCCTGGCACATAGTGTCCAATACCAGGATGTTGTTGTATCACCGGAGTATTTGTGATCCATTGACTCAGTATGTTTGGGTTATGACCCCTTCAGTTTCCAGATCGGAGGTGTACCTATGTAAGTTACCATTTGATTAACTCCCCAATTACCCATTAAATAGTTTTCTTATTTTCCTTTTTCTTCCTTGGATAAGCTTATGGAAGTGAATTACATCATGAATCCTATGTATTTCCATTGTCAGCTAAATACTTTGCTAACACAGACTTTTCTTTATTGGTTTGAGAGGAGCTAATAGTTATGGAAGAGTGACCCAGATCCCGTTCTGCCTCCGTTGTCAGCAATAATGTCTTCATTATGGATTATACTCTAATTGGGTGACATTGTGGACTAAATAGTTTATAAATGGAACACTTGGATTTGGATGGTTCTTGTTGGTTTTGCTGTCAATTCTGTTTAATGTCAGCCTTTGGGAAAATCATAGTTTGAGTTGTTGGCACTTTCGTCAAGTGAGGGGAAGATTTGGGATGAACTAGTAACCCTCATGGATATTGTATTGCCATTTTTTTTAAAATAAATTTCTGTCCATAGGAAAAAACTGAGTGTTGGCACCTTTAAAAAGAATGTTTTTTCCTCAGACATCCCCAATCTAAACAAACAAACAAACAAAAAATAATTTTTGGGGGGGAGGAGGGTGGGGTGCGTGTATGTTTGTAACATGTTCCTTAGTTGAGAATTAGGAGAACATAAAGAGGTATAATGAAGAAGACAAATCCAACTACCCAGAGATGGTATTGGTCCTTCATCTTTTTATCCTTGTCTG